AATTTGTACTATTTTAGATATAAGAATAAAGCTGCACATAAACGATTTAAACTTAAATATCTTATTCTATTTTGTTACATAAAATAAAAGCTCAACAAATAGATAAAACAGCATATAAAGTGTAAGTATTCAACATTCTACACATATAGTAAAATTTTGCAACAACAGCTGGTATTCATAATCGATTCTTATAGTTCAAATATTAAGTCAAAATAAGAACGAACTACGAATACAACAATGATTTAGATTTTTAGATAAACCATCGATTTTTTTTCTTTAAAAAATCAGCATATATAATTATGACTATGAGTGTTAAAAAGCTGTCTAATAATAAATTAAAGTCATTTAAAGAAGCAACGTGTTAATAATATACTTTAATATATTTGTTGTATGATTATAACCCCAATATGTATACGTAACACAGACAAAAGCACTCGAAAATGACAAGTACTTTTATGCATTTCGTTCTATGGAGCAAAGCACCAAACTTACCCGATTGATCCGCTGCTTCGTCAGTTGCCATAACGCTCGCGTGACAAAGCTGTAAATTTACTCAAGTGTTTTCCGAAGGAAGGACGCTTCAACGAATACTCGACGCGCATACAAAATGGAGTGAAATGACCGAACGAAATACTTTACACACGGCTCTTTTATTCCTTATAAAAATGCTCGAGTAACAGACTAACAACTACGCGCATCAATCGTCACGTATCGTTCTCTCGTAGTGTCTCCTGCCTGCGCAGTTCCTTGGCTAACTCGGCTTGCTGCTGCAGAGTGTAGACATTTTCTGCCTTTCGGTCTCGTCGTTCGATATCGCGTATCACACCCAAGTGCAGCTGTTGCCTGAAACATTTTTGCAATCCAATGTTAGTTGTGAGAACGGCAAAATGTCTTTCAACGCGATATCTACCTGTCGTAAGACTGCCTGTAATGCACGTAGCCTATTATTCCAACGGACGTCATACAACATAAACCGAAAGTGATTTTAGACGCGTTCGACATTCTCGAGGAGAAGAGTGCGCAGTTATCGCCGTGAAATTGCTCGCGCGAGGCACGACGGGATAATCGATTATTGTCGATTTTAGCGCGCGTTATTTAACTTTCGTCAATTCGAAATTCGAAGACGCCGCTTTATATTTTTATAAAGCTTTATATATTTATTCGATTTGCTTAAAGGAAGTGAATTTGAGAAAAGACAGAAGTCTAAGGCCGGTACTCATGGTCAGTTCTTATATTCAAGACCGTCTTAAGTTCCTTCTTGAGATGTCATGAATCAATAAGAGGGCCGCATTAGTGTCTTAAGACATTATAGTCAAAAGGTTTGTCGCGTTGCCACCGACGAGATACTATTAAAAACCGACATCCTTACGGGAGTTTGCGTCCTTGTGAATAGTGAAGTGATTAAGAGTTAAAAACTGATAATATTGTACTAATTTTATGATTTATTAGTTTAGTAGATGTATTTATGCATTTATAACTCAATAATACTCGAATTTTCTTTAAAATTGAGATTTCAGTGTTATCATCAAAGTTTGATTATCAATAAAGATGATAATTGCAGAGAAAAAATTGTGATTTTTTTGCAATATAAAGAGAAAAACTTGTGATTTTTTTGCAATATATAGGATATTACAGCTTTACAAGTATGTATATTTATTTATGAGACATTTATGTAATAAAAAATCATGAATTTAATAATGCATGAGCCAAATATTTATGTTAATAATAGCAAATTTATATCAATTGTCGGTAACGTTAGCGTTCTTGAATTACCTCCGGGTCCTTGGGGCCCTTTTTATACCGCCGAAAATTTGCCCAGAGTAGACGATCTTTAATAATATCTCGTCGGTGGCGTTGCTTACACTTTTGACACTCGACATTTTCTCTTTCTCTCTTTTTAAGGTAAAATATGTATCTATCTCATTTTAAGTGCAAAAATATTTGGGGATTTCATGCAACGCGAACAGACCTAATAGGACTGAAGAGGAGGAGGAAGGATTTAATCAAAATTTGAAAATAAGTGTGTAATTAATATTACCACCCACGAGATATACTAATAAAGACCGAATTTTCGGCGGTATAAAAAGGGCCCCGAGGGCCCAGAAGTAATTGAAGAACGCTGACATATCGACAATTGATATAAATTTACCATTATATTAACATAAATATTTTTGGCTCGTACATTATTAAATTCATGATTTTTTATTACGTAAGTGTTCCATAAATAAATATGCATATTTGTAAAGCTATAAATCCTATATATTGCAGAAAAATTACAATTTTTTCTCTGCAGTTATCATCTCTGTTGATAATCAAACTTCGACGATATAATATTGAAATCATAATTTAAAAAAAAAATCGAGTATTATTAAGTGTTCTAAATGCGTAAATACGTCTACTAAACTAATAAATCATAAAATTAATATAATATTATCAGTTTTTAACTCTTAATTACTTCAATATTCACAAGGACGCGAACTCCCGTAAGGATGTCGGTCTTTAATTAATCATGGTGGAAGAGATTGACAATCCTTCCACCATGGTTTTTAATAGTACCTCGTCGGTGATATTATACTTATAGCAGAAAAAAATCTGAGAGAGCTAGGCCATGCCGGCCTTTTTCCTGTTACTATCGAAATCGCCCGTACACTACTGCCAGTACATCCATTTTCAGTTTGGGAACTACGTGACATTCATACATTTTCTGAGATCATCGATAAAATCGTATTGTCGAAAGTAAATATGGTTCGTCTCTGTACTAAATCAAGATAGAAGCGTGTCGACTATTCATAAAAGGGCTAGTTTAATGGGTCCTTGAAAAAATTTTAATTTTGTATCTTCTATATATGTAAATAAAAATTGTTGAATTTTAATAAATGAAATTGAAAATTCGAACAAGTTAATTTAGTGAATTTTGTCTTATAATATTTATATTATAATATCTTAGAAAATTATGAAGTTATGTTTCTTTATGCAAATTTTCAGATTGTTTTTTCCAAATATAATTATTATAGTATGTATTAAAGTCTCTATAATTATACATGTATCAATTACCTATATGCATTAAAGTCTCTAGCAGTTATAGAGACTTTTAATAAATTCAATCTTTACTAAACATATCTACATATATATTGTTAATTTTTGAGATATATTAATTTCTAAGATATATTAATTTAAGATATATTAATATTTTAAGGTGTATACAATTATACTTTTAAGGTATATATTTAAGGTATATATACTTTTTAAATCGTATATGAGTGCTTTTTCAGAATATTATTTTATTATGTTATCTTTATGTGTGAAATAAGAACACGAGATTATTAAGGATACTTCAAACAAATAATTTAATGAAGAATTTTAATTTTAATTTTAATTTTAATGATATGCGAGCAATAACCCGATTATGCTAAGAAAAAAAATCATAAATATAAGTTTTTTTAACTAATAAATTGTATCCACCCGATAAAAAATTTTTCATGCATGAATATATATACATATATATAAACACATACATAAACATATATAATTATATATAAAACATGTTCATACATCCTTTTTTCTCTTATAAAATTACTTTTTAGTGTAATAGAAATAATAATAGTTACGTAAAAATTAACATTAAAAATAATTATAAAGGTAATTTTCGGACTATTTTAGAAAAAATAAAGTTTGAAGAAATGTAAAAAAATTATTTATGTATAATTATATATAAAATTATGCATAATTATGTATGAGCAATTTTTTTTATTTTACCAAACTTGTTTTTTTCTAAAACAAACAATGCGAAAATTATTCCTTTAATTATTTTTTGTTTTCACATTACTATTATTATTTCTAATATACTAAAAAGTAATTTTATAAAAGAAAGAAGGATATATGAACATGTATGGACATATTTCATATATAATTATACATGTTTATGAATATTTATGCGTGTTTATATATGTTTATACATATTTATACATATTCATGCATGACAAATTTTTTTCTGGGCAGTTATTGCACGAAAGTTACACGACTAATAGTGTTGTCAGAGATAATGAATTTCACTGCCGAGAGACAGAAGAGATCGTTGTCAGATCGGGTTCTTATTAATTTTAGAAGATTCATTCTTTCTTTTATAGTAGGGTTGAATTCCAAACAACCTCGCATATTTTTACTCGTCTTCATGCCTCAAAGATATAATAGCCTACCCAAGCAGAGCAAGTCACGATAATGTCAAAATGATATTTAAATGAATCGGAAATGATTGCAAAATGACTTTTAATGATCATTTTGGAATAATTTTGACATCATAACTTGTTGTTCCGCTTAGGTAAGGAGCTCTTTGTCCTTCACAAGTTAGTTACACGATAAATTTTTCTTTTGAATCTCGTACAACGAAATAAACAATAACAACAAGTGACAAAGATCTACATGTAAATGATAATATAAATAAGTGAAAAGGCTAATTCGGTTAAATCAAATTTTGAGAGACTAAATAATATTTCTGAATAAATTTTTATTACATTTTCCAGATATACATAAAACTAGATAACTTACATCCTTTACATGCTTGTTTTTAGTTTATAAAATAAAATAGACCGCAACATATATTTCATAGATTAATGCAATAAATTGATAAATTTATTTATATCAATGGAAGAAAAAAAACACGCAATTTTTCACTTCTTCGGCCATAATCCAATAATCGCAGTAATGGATCCTTAATATTAAACGCAATATATAAATTGAACGGAATATTTTGAATCCTTTGAGAAATCATTATGTTTAAACTATTTAAAGAATATATTATTTTCTCATCGCCAGTATGTGTTGTATAAATGTCTTCAAATTTTGAAGGCAGTTATCCGTATGTAAGTCTGGATCAATCGAATGAAATAAATGATTTCTCGACTTATTTCCTCAAATTCTGTAAAAGAACGAGATATTTGTGAAATAATATTTCTACTTTGTGTCTCATTATTGCGCGATAAATAAAAAATTTTCTCTTACCTTTTAGTTGCTCGTTGGTCTCTTTCACAGGAAACATAGGTTGACATTCCCGTAAATGTGGAAAGATGCTACCGAGAGACGTTTTGCCAATGGTATTGTAAATTAGTATATTAGAAACCCAACGATATATTATCAACCTGTACTGTAATCGAAGGAATTTAATGTGTCTCTTCATTGAATGAACGTTAGATCTTTTGACATGTATATGTTTCCTGACATTTTGTAATTTTTGAGAGGATTCGTTATCAGTGTCCATTATAGTTTCCTCGAATATCTCTAAGTTTTCGTTTATTTGACGTTTAGTTAATTTAACATTGTTCATGAAATCCTTGATGGTTATTTCGTCATCTGTGAAAAAAATCGAGATTTGACATATTATATTGACATTTCGTGATATCGTTTCTCTCTACGGCCAAAAAAATCTTTCTTTCACCTTCTAGTGCAGTGCTGCTCTCTTCTATGGGCAATGAGAAAGACTGATCTTCCAGTGGAAGCTGAAAGTCATTTAAAGATTTTCCTCCAATAATAGCTGAACTGTCCTCATAAGTAAACCACTCATGTGATATCATTGCGAAAGTGAATAGCTTCATTTCTAATGTGTGATGTATGATTTGTTTGAATTCGCACTCCGTTTTAGTAGAAGCATCGATGCCCTCGGTCGTCGACGATCTACTCTCGCGCTTCAAGATATCTGCGGCGTTTTTCTCCTGATCTATATAAGAGATCAAGATTTTTGTATAAGAATATATTTATTTTGGTGCGATATGACACTTTTCTACTGCAAAAAATCTTTCTCTTACCTGTCGGTCCGTTATCATTTTTATCCATGGGCAATGAAGACTCATCTTTCAGTGGAGGCTGGGATTTCTTATTGACAGATTTTTTGCGGATATTCGGATAACGTATATTAAGGACCCATTTATATGCGAACAATTGAAGCATCAATATGTCCTTATTGAGACGTGACGATATTATAGTTTCCTTAGATTTTAGTTTCTCGTTTAATTCAAATACGATTGATTTAATAAGTTTTATAAGCAGTTCGGCCTTTCTCGAATTACCTGCATGAAAAATCAACATTCTGGTGAAGTAATATTTTTACTTTGTAACGATATCGCGCGAAAAATCTTTCTCTTACGTTTCATTGTGTCGTAGCCCTTTTTCTCCGATAATTCCTTTGATTTCGTATGAGATCGATTTTGGATCGCTTCAATGGTGCTTATGATATCAGAGGACATTACTATACGATCTGCATAAAAGATTGAGATTCTTATAAAACAATTCTACTTTGACGCAATATTGCGCTTCTCTACAATAAAAAATCTCTCTCACCTTGCAGTGTGTAGTTAGTCTGTACCTGATGGGGTACACATCTTTTTGGAAGCTTTAAGATCTCCTCGTAATATGATTTGCCGACAGTATTTAGGACTATTACATCGGAGGTCCATTGATGTATCATCATTACGAATTTAAACAAAAGGTATGTGTCGAAGTTGGCTTTTTCAACATTTTGAGGGAAATTAGGAACAGCATCCTGTGCATCTTTTTGAAATTTCTTTATGTGCGCTACGATCAACTTAGTGCGATTTATGAATTCGTCGACGGTTATCTTTAGACCTACGTAATAAATCAAGATACATATAGCACAATATTTTCATTATGGCGTGATATTGCGCCTCTCTCTATGACAAAAAATCATTCTCTCTTACCTTTCACTGTTGTCACTTTTCTATTGTCACTTTTTTCTACGGGCACTGAAGGTTGATTATTGAAAGACCTGTGTCCGGTGTGTGAGGAATAGGTGTCAACAATGTTCCATTTATATAAAAAGAAGAAGTAAGGATAGATATCCATCTTGAATGTTTCACCGTTATTACCGTCCTTTGCTATTTCACTATCAAAAATTCTATTATTACACAAGTCTTGGTCCTGCAATCTTTTTTCATCTGGGATGTAACTTTGTACGATGACACAGTACAAAAGCAGTAATTGTGCGATCTAAGGAAATGAGAACTTAATTTTTATAGATCCTTTTAATGTCGATTTAGGTCTCTATTTTGTGTTCCTAATTCTTTTAGGAAAAGTTCGAAGTAGGAAAACTCTAAAAGTTTTAGGGAATACTATATATAAAACCTGCGCGACGATGATACAACGATATCGTTACTGTCGTTAAATGTTACAGAATAGTGGATTTGATATCACTAATATTTTACTTTTACGCCAATTTTTGATATTCCGGAATACTCGCGAATCACTTACGATATGAAAATATCGACATATATATGATGACGATTAATGATTATCGAATACGAGTATACATATAGATTCTGAGTATTCTAATCTTTTTTTGTTCCGTTTATTCAACACCACGAAAACGAAAGCAGACTGGAACCGACGCGATTCACCGATTCGTGATGGATGAGACTTTTGTGTTCAAAAGTACAGATTTACAGTGAGTGCAAAAAAGTGTTCGTACAGAGAAAATATTTTTTAAAAAACTTTATTTTTAAAAAGTAAATATTATGCAGCCAGAAATGAATCATCGAATTGAATTAATATCGATACGATGATTTCAACATCAATTTGACGTCGATTCGACGTTTAATTGACGCTCATTTCCTGTTGGGTAATTAACAATTTATTTATAAAGAATAAAATAGGATGTATGTTTCTTAAAATTATATATATAACAAAAAGATGTGTATTAATTATAAAAAATATATCATTTGAAAAATAAGCCAAAATAAAAATTGTATTGTCTGGATGCTCGAAAAGTATTCGTACAGTCGAGAAATTTAGCTTCTAAAATCAAAAATATATGCGAAGCTCATTTGTTAATGTAAGAACAGAATGTATTCATTGTATAAAATTGCTAACTAATGTTTATTTTCTACAAATAAGACTTTTTTAATAAAAAATTTCCTTGTACGAATATTTTTTGCTCTCACTGCACGTGATTTCATAAGATCATGTCCAAATCTGGCATAATGTATCAAACGGATAATAATCGCGACAATATAACTGAAAAATATCCGATGGTAAAGTGTAGTCTCTTAAAATTGTAATATTTTCTCGCGTTTTAAAAGAGACGTTGACGATGTTTGCGCGGCTACATACCTTTATACGTTTCGTAAACATATTCGCGAAATAATACAAATGTTTCCTGACGAATGTATCTTCACGATGTGTCTAGATTCGCGATCAACTACTGACTGACGCGTCTGTCTCGAGACGTTCTGTTTTCTTACAAGTAACGTACCTTTGTTTGCCTGATTTTGATGACCTTTAGATACCTACATGCCAGTATAGACCAAACAAATTGACTGAAACAAGCGACCAAGGCAAATGTATCTATCCCTACCGAAAACAATCATGTCACAAAGTTACACGATGAAATCATGTACTTAAAACGTGTAAATCACGTAATATGTTCACTACGTGATTTTTTAAAATGATGTAATTTGAAAAATCACATGATATTACAAATAATTTCATCCATCATGTGATGCTATAATTATAAAGATGTTATATAGAATTTTAAAGAATTGAATGATAGAAATAGAAGAAAAAAGAACATATTATCATATGACTTTTCAAAATACGTAATTTTAAAATCATATACTGATTTGGAACAATCCGTTACGTGGTTTACATGTTTTAATTATGTGATTTCACCATGCAACAGTGTGACGTAATTTTTTTCAGTAGGGATAGTTTTTCATAGGCTGTTATGTCCGTTACTGATGGCAAAACGTTTTGGAAAGAGTAACAAACGTTTCTCTATAAATATGTCGTCAGAAATATAAGATGAGAAATATAAGAAGAACAAATTTAAACAAAAGTTTTATAATTTCCTTTAGAAATGCATTTTAGTACTGGCTATAATTTAATACTATGAAAAATAATTAATATCAATACCTTTCAATATTAAATTTCTGTGAGAGTTTCAAAGTCGTTTTACGCTCAAATTTTTCAAAAAATATTTTATTATATATATAATATATATATATACGTGTATTTGGAAATGTTATGTAATCGTATCAACATTGTGTTTTTGAGAATTCGCCAATCTTTAAGTATAATTAAACTCATCTTTAAATAATCTTTAATTACAATATCAATTTCTAAGCATAAAATTGCAATGCAAATATAAAATTGGTAGAAAGGTTGCGGACAAACGAGTTTTAATTAATAGATCAAACATTAAAACCAGTTTATTAAATCGTCAAGAGAGATTAAAGAACTAGTTAATATATAATGCATGGAACGTTTCGACTATACATCTTTTCTACAATCAAATAATTACAATTAGAAATAAATGTACGTGTATATTATATAAAGCGTAAAACGTGACGTATTTATTGTATCAAAATGAGAATGTGCGCACGTTGTATTAAAATACGATCACTTAAGTATAATTTGACCAAAAAAAAGCGTTACATTAAAAACAAAATAATTGAAGCAATAATCAGCAATGAATGTTAGCAATTCACAAATTATATAAAAATAATTGTATAAGTCAACTGGAAGGGTAATTCACAATATTATCAAATCCATACGAATTTAACAAAGTTCTTAAATTTCTGAGAGAAATTTAAACGTTTTGTTAAAAGCAAAGAAATAGGTGACATTGTCGTCTAATTAGAGACGACTGAGAAAAACAGCATCTTATTATCAGTCAAATATATAAGTATATGATAAAATTTAATATAAAAGCATTTGTATTTAAATTATATATTTGAATAATAATAGAATACTTTTTTGATCAAAAAGATCCACCGTTGGCTTTTATGTTCTTTTTTCGTCTAGTAATTTGATTTATTCATAAAGTCTATTATAATTTGAATTTTAATCTTATAAATATGTGGCTAAGGTACTCAGTCAGAAATTATAATGGAACCGATATCGAATCGATTTAATACTTTCGACGTCGATCGACGAAATTTCATTGAAATTTTAATAAAATTTTTTCCACTACTATTACATTATTAGCGACACCACTTGTCGAATTTACTTGTACACTAGTAGTATATTTTTATCCGGGTATTAATATATAGAATTAATTTCTTGTTATTTAATATATGAAAAAAAGATGAGATTAACGATAATAATTATATATTTACAATTTTTATTCTTTAAATTCTGCTCATTGTGAACTAATCGATGATTAATTCATCAAAAAATTAAGTATTTTATTAATATAAATGGAATTGTTAAGTTTTTATTTAATACATGGAAAAGGAATTTAAAACAAAGAATATTGAATTGTATATATGATATGTATATATATAGGTATAGACTTTCGTGCCGTAAATAATATAGGTCAAAGCCGTTTCGATTCTTCAAAATTGAACGTTCTCGACACTGTTCGATGTATCGATTATTCCATCGAAAATGCACGTGAATTTGAATCTCGCAGGAAAGGATTGTATTTCTAGCCAAGGCTGCATTATGGTTGTGTTTTAATATGCGCTGTCGGTATTAAAAATCTATAATTTATTATTTTCTGACGTGTTGATCTCCAATTTATATATCTGTTGTGCAAATGTACATACAATATGTATATACTTGTAATATAAGGATGTCTACACATATGCCATCTCGTGTTTAACTTCGGAATGACATTAGGAAATCAGTGAAATAAAACGCGGATAATACAGTCGATAGTACAGTCGGTTCAGCATTTTCGAGCGTAGATGTAACAAGCGTAGATATAACATGTTTCACGGCCAACGCGTATGTTGCGGTGTTACGCCATTATTGCCGTTATGATATTAACTAAAATTTTATAAATTTGTGACGAGCATATTACTGTTAATTCAGATGAGACATATACTTTTAAATTAGTGTAAAGAAAACCAATTGGGTGGAAGTTACGAGGATTGCGAGCTACGCTAATTTCATGTTTTCGAAGGTTAGATATTCGTGATGTAACTATTTATTATGGAAAAGATATTTGTGAACTTTCATACAAATATTGGCTCGTATTAACGTCGTGGTAGTAAAATTACACATAAGAAATCATTCTGTTTTTTGGTGTTCACTTTTTTATGCGAGCATGTACAATGATTTGCTTTTAATAATTGCTTCGCCTTTGAAACATACATTTATTATTCTTTTTTATTATTTGTATCTGAACGGTCATTGGTACGCCAGAAGGACTGCATAAATTGAGCTAATAACTGAATCTATGCAGTCCTGCTTGAGAAAACGAATATTAAGTTAGACATCTAAGAGTCAATAAATCTAATATATGTGTGACACATTATTTCTATATTTTATTTAATTTTTATCTTTGTGTTATTTTATAATTATAATTTATATATTTTAAAGTTTATCTTATGTACTTCTGTTAAAGATAACTAAACATTTTATTTTTGTAAAGATTATTATTGTAAGTTATTACTAAATCTTTAATAAAATTAACATTAATATGTGATTACTATTGAAATTGCGATTGAAAAAATAGCCTATTATATTATTAAATCTTAATAATAGTGTCGTTATGGTTATATTATGAAGTTATAGTATACATAATAAAAAAACCTAGCAACAATACAACATGACGTTGCTGCGAGAAATTATAGAATAAGTCTATAGGGCAATTAAAAGTATTTTTCAAGAAGCTTTTGAATTTTTTGAAATTATTAATATATTTTATGAGAATATATTAACAGATTTTTTAAAATCATTAATATAATAACAATAATAACAGTAATAATTATCTTGTTATACAGACTTTTGTCATATAGACTGTCTAAAGTATATATGCTACAAAGAGCTTAAAAATTTGCATTTGCATTTTTAAAAAGAATCTTTGTAATAATTTAATTAATAATTTAATTAATAGGATTGAATGTACAATTTATGATCTCTAACAAAAGTTATTAATGTTGCTTTCAGACTCAGAGTAAAAGGGATATTGCACTCAGTAAAAGATTATCGTACCTACTACGTCATGGCGCTACAAAGGAAGGCTTAAATATTAAACCAAATGGTTTTGTTGCAATTAATGAATTATTAAATAAATCACTACATCAGTATACTACTGACGATATCAAGAGAGTAGTAAAGGAAAATAACAAACAGAGATTTACTCTTAAGACTATTAATGGTGTTTTAGAGATTAAAGCAAATCAAGGACATTCTATATTCAAGATCAATGAATTGAGTTTGAAAATACTTGACCGCATAGACTTTGACATAATTCATGGCACCTATTTTAAGTACTGGACAAACATAAGAACGGAAGGTTTATCGCGTATGAAAAGAAATCATATTCATTTTGCAAAGGGATTAAATTTTATCAATGGTTTACGTCAAAACGCTGAACTTTTTATTTATGTGAATTTTGGGAAAGCAAAGGAAGATGGCTTAATATTTTTTGAATCTGAAAATGGTGTTGTTCTTTGTGCCGGAAATTCAAAAGGATTTATTGAAACAAAATATTTTTTGAAAGTGATTACTGCTGATGGTCAAACATTAAATTTGAATTGAAAATAATAAAATCTTTCTTTATCAAATAAGAAACATAACTAAATATAATAAATTACGATTATTTCCACAATTTTGAAACATGAATTCACAATCATATGATGAATCTTTCAAACATAAAAGTGAACAGGTTCCCACAAGTTCAAAATATCAAGAAACAAGTTCAGAACAAAAATCACTTCAAGAAGAGCATCCTTATTTATCAGGAAGGTCACTTTGTGTTTCACCTTTACCAAAAACTCTGTCGCCAATGGATTTAGTAAATTTTTTTCGACGATTTGGAACAGTTAAAAGACAACGTTTTGGACAGGATTTCTTTTGGATTGAATATACTGAAAGGTAATAAAAATTTATGATTAATATTTATGATAGAATATACACGAATAAATTTTCGTCTCTCTAGTTATGCAAATATTTATATATTGTTCTATTTTTTTTAACATAAAGGCGATTACATAATAATATTAGTTTCTTTGGTTATATATATGGAAGTTATATTTTTTTACTCTGTAAAAATAAAAATTTATTATGGTTGGTTCTTTTCTTTTAAATATTAGGAATCTGTTCAATCAGTTTTTTTTCCTTTTTTTTCCTAATTTTTAGAATAAATATTCTCTTGTTTATAATAATCACTATTTAAGAAGAAAAAAAAAGAACAAATATTATTAATGACTAGAAGCATGTGAATAAAGGTATTACTCTACAAAAT